TAGAAGAGTTCTCATTTTTTGCTTGCCCAAGATTGTCTAATTCAAACTTGATCTGGAGTAAGAATCACTTACATAGGTTTAGTCTGTTAGTTTGTTAAATTTCCAGATCCCTAAATTTGAACCTTTTCAACTTTTTGATATAGTAGGAAAATTGCTTCTAACTTTGAGTCCAGCTGACAGATTATCTTAGATGTTTTCCCCACAGCTATTCACTGCCATTATATAATTAAACATGCTTTAGTCCTGAGATTTTTTTGAGAAACACCTGTTTCTATGCTAAAAAAGTAAGCACAGGTTTTCTTTATAAAGATGTTTTAAATACTTCTTTCTTGATAGTAATAGCAATATAATATGCATTACGTTTATTCCTTTACAGAAACTAGCTACTATTTTTTAAGGCTTGATGTTGATTTGGCCTGTGAAAATATGAAAATTTAGGTTTTTTATACCTCTATTTTATCTCAGTATCAATTAGTTATGATAAACATAACCTTTAACCATAAACTGTAGAATCACGAGTTATATGATTTTCACCATATAGCCTTTTTTAATTGAATCTGAGTTTTTTCCTTGATGTTGATTTTCTTAATGTTCTTTTCGTCTTACTGCTTCTTTCAGCATTTTAGATTTATCTTACGGTCAGGTGGGAAACCATGTTTCAGTATCTGTTCACAGATTATAATGGGGCTTATAAATTGCTTAGCTGTTTTCCTAAACTGTAACTTGGGCAGAAAATTTGAGAAAATATGTGAAAAGTTTTTTTTCCCTGCAGGTGGTTATAAACAAGAGGGTCCACTCTTTCCTTGGGTGGCATGAGTAGAGAGGTGCTTTTTTCATTATTTTTCTACAAGGTTTTTCGCTCAGTTTGCGGGCCAATTCTGTAGAGCACTGAATTTTTCTATATGTCTAACAGTGATTTCCTTGCATTTGGAATAATAACCTTTTGAAAAGCAGGATGGGAAAAAGCTAGTAGGTGAAGCTTCACAGGTTTCTGTTGGAAAGCAGTTTTTTAGTTTTCATTTTGAAGCTGAGCAAGAATGTGAGACGATTTTCTTAAGAGGTGAAGCAAGTTGGTTGCTTTTAAGAAAAAAGTACAGTTCTTTAGAATCTGGGGAGACAGTGCAGATTTTAGCCCTATTAAATTTAGATTTTAGAAACCACGATAGTCATGCCACTTTTTTATAGCAAGAATGCCATCTCCTGTGTGCATGCTCTTTACTTGTGATGTCCCTGAAACGGATATGTTTGATAAGCTCTTAAAAGCATGTAAATTTATTGCGAGCTCTTTCCTCAGAGGAACATTAGGAAACCTTCAATATTTAAAACATGTTTAATTTTCATGAAAAGCTAAGGTAATGGAATGATAAATATTAACTGTATTTTAAAAGCTGAATTTCATTTCTCTTGGCTATTAATACAGATACAGCCAAAAGAGGAGGACCAGAAACCATTAACTTCATCGAATCCAGTATTAGAACTCGAACTGGCAGAAGAAAAATTACCCATGACTCTTTCTAGGCAAGAGGTAAGTTTATATATGAGTGTTTCATGGGGGAAAAAAAAAGAAATCTCCACAGCGTTTACATTTATCTCTAGTTCTTTCCAATAAGTTAAATGTCATTTTTTATATAAGATGATTTACTGACCTAAAAATACTGTGTGGCTAAACAGTTTTCTTCATGAAGTTCTAAGTTAATCTCTGCTTTTCTTATCTTTTCTTAGAGTATATCCTTGTAAACTTTAAAAAATAAACATGAGTATTCTAGATAGATGTATATATTCTAAATATATGTAAATTATCTGCCTAAATTATTTTAAATAGTATATTATTTTGTAGCCTACTTTTCTCTCCCTTGTTTAATAGTACATCTTTCCAGATAAGAGTATAGAGATCTACATAATTTTTAATGACTGAACAATTTCCTATTTGCACCACAATATTTTAAAAATCATTTCTTTATTAATAGTCATTTGGATTACTTCAGCATATCCCTGTTATAAATAGTACTAACACAAACATCCTTGTATAGACATCATTGCATGCATAATAATATACGATTATTTCCTTTGGAAAAATTTGTAAATGTGTGATTTTTAGGACAAAGACTGTGTATATTTTTGAGACTTTTGATACATGTTACCAAATGGCTCTGTAGATATTAGACATATTGTACTAGTTTATACTTCCACTTGTAGTGTTTGTCCATACCCTGCTCAGAATCAGTTACGATTTTACTTAAACCCAGATTTCAAGATTTTCATGTGATATAAAGAATTGAAATGTATACAGAAGGGTATAAAACAAAAATGTCTTCCCTTCTTCCTGTCTTCTGCCCCCACTCCCAGTCACTTCTCAGCCCCTCTGCTATCCGGAGTCATTCACTTAGCATCAGTATGCAAGTGTATACTTTTATCCCCCTTGCACACAAGTGAGATTATATGTATTTGTGCCTTGGTCTTTTCACTGAAAATACATTTCGAAGACCATTTTATGTTGGGGGGTGTGTGTATATAGATGAAAATTTTAACAGTACATATGTGACATTGGGCAAGTTACCTAGTCTATTTCCTGATTGCCTTATGTATGAATGAAGACAATAATAGGGTCTACCTCATGAGATTTTTATGATTAAATGAGGTAATACATGATGGGAACAGTACTTACTAGTAAGTACTCAATAAATTTAAATATTGTTTTTAATAGTAGTTCTGTAATTTGTTAAGTTAACCTTTTATTGATGGATATTTAGGTTCCTTTCAGTTGTTTGCTGTTACAAACAATGCTAACGTGAATGTTCTTGTGCGTATATTTTGATACATTTGCGTGAGTTTACCAGTAGGATAATTCCCTAGAAAAGGAGTTTCTGGGCAAAGAGTGTCTATTTAATTTTTGGTAGTATACCAAATTGTCCTACAAAGAAGCTGTGCCAATTTAATTCCCATAAATTTGTAAGAGTACGAGTTTCCTAGCAACTCTGTCAAGTTTTTATTCTAAAATGTTTTAGCCTTTGCCAATCTGAAAGCAGTCTTACTGTTACGTTAAATTTTTGACAGACTGGTCAGTGAAAAAAGTATCTTGTTTTAACTTGAAACTTTCCATTAATGATTATTAAAATTGAACATGTTTTTATGTGTTCCATGGTCACTAATGTCTCCTTTTGTGGAATTGCTATTTTTATATCATGAAATTGGTCTTCTTACTGATTTATAAGTCAACGTGTTTATATATTAAAGGTGTTAGCCTATTTTCATAAGTGTACATCTGTCAGATGTACACATAGTGCATATTTTTTATCAGCCTGACATTTGTTTTTTGCCATGCAGAAGTTCTAAATTTTTATGTGATCACATCAAACTCTTTTTCATTATGTTTTTTCCTTAGGTGTCATGCTTAGAAAGGTTTCCCCCATCCCTAAGAGTTAAAACATGATATAATAGTGTTTTTTCCATTACCTTTATGAGCTCATTCTTTATATGTATAGAAAGTATTTTCTTTATATTTTAATTAACTTTGTATTTAAACTGAGCATGTATTTCATAATTATGGAAATATTTAAAATCCTTTGTCATTCACATGTTTTAGAATTCTGTTACTTTATGATTTAGCAAAAAGTTTTATATTTTAGAATCTGCTTTATATTTTTGAACATCGAAAAGTTTGGATTAAAAGGCAAAGTACTTTTAAGAAGTTGGTCTTTTCGTAGGCTCCAATATTTTTAAATCGTTGACTAATAGTTGTATGTCAAACACTGAACAGAATGTGGGGAAGATATGGTTCCTGCCTTCACGCAGGGAGCTTCTATTGAAATAGTAAAAGAGGACTCAGAGGCTTAAGTTCTTTCGCTGATATCCCTTTTGTTCTCTGTGGCACCTTTTTTTTTTTTTAATCTCAGTTTCTTTATTTAAAAAATTAGAATAATAGAATTCTTGCACTAAAAGGAATTTTGAGGTCAAATCATTTATTACCTTGCCTTAGGCAAAACCACTGTTACAGAATCCCAGATAGATGAGAAGTAGCTGTTTATACTATTATATATTTATAACGTATTTTTGATCTGCAAAAAAATTACATAGTCCACATAACTTGGCCTAAGTTATATTAGCCCCTGATTTTAAGAAATGTTTTAAAGTGATAACTAGCTCAAATTCCCTTTTTTTCTGTTTAGGTTCTTTTCATCTTTGATTGGCCCTGACTCAGTCAGTCGTCTTTAATCTTTGTGCACCCTCAGCAGTCTGTCCCTGTTGTGTACCTCTCTAGTGTGAATAGGGCTAAATGTAAGTGATAGAAGTATGATGTCTAGGTGGAAAGATTGTATGTTTTGTACTTCTCATAGATTGAGACGTTTGCAGTATTTTTTAGTTCTGCATACCACATTTTTAGGCTGGACATTACACAAAAGGAAACTTTCAGAGGAATGATGACTGACTCTGGAAACCATCATGTGAAAATTGGGGGAAGGATATTTGGGATACTTAGCGTGAAGAGAAGAATTATTAGAGACACTTTAAAAAGTCCATTGAAAACATATCTAATTTTAGAACAAGATTGAATATTTTTGCAGTTTCATGAAGTAGAACTAGGATAAATGGGTAGAAGTTTGAGGGAAGTGGATATCAGTTTTGAGAAGCAAAATGTGTCTGTCAAAAATGGGATGGAAGGTTTCATGAAGAGAGATGATTCCTGTCACTTGTCAGACACAAATCTGACAAGGACATTTTTGAGGTTATTTCTGCATTTGATTGGAGATAGCATTAGATGACCTCTTAAATTTCTACTTTAATCTTAAACTTCTGGTAACCCAATGGGAACCTTGCCAATGCTTTCTATTTATTTTATGATTCCACATAAAAGTCTTGATGTTTGTTGTTACTTTTTAAAATTTGGATCAACCTTTATTTTCTTAATTATATTTTCTGTTTTTTCTCCTTCCTTCTTTTTTTTTAAGTGATGGGATTTTACTCTGTTGCCCATGGAGTGCAGTGGCGTGATCATAGCTCACTGCAGCCTTGAACTCCCGGGCTTAAGCAATCCTACTGCCTCAGTCTCCTGAGTAGTTGGGACCACAAATGTGTGCCACCATGCCCGGCTAATTTTTTTATTTTTTTGTAGAGACAGGGTCTTCGTTTGTTGCCCAGGCTGGTCTTAGAACTCCTGGCCTCAAGTGATGGGCTTGCTCCTCCTGCCTCAGCCTCCCAAAGTGCTGAGATTACAGGCATGAGCCACCGCCCTCTGGTGGCAAGCATCTACATTTGAAAACAAGTGTTTGGTCACTTAAAATATGTTAACATAAGGGATTGCTATTGTCTTCTGATTTTTTAGAAGAAGGCTAAGAACAGTTATAATTATGAAAAATGAGGACCAAAAGCTTATCCCCTCACTTTTTCTTTTGCAAAAAGTAATTTTTTTTTTTGTTTTACAGAAAAAGGGATGGTTTATATTAGGGGTTTGCTTTAGATTTGAATTGTAGATTTATAGGCTTTCTAGGAGGTATTTGGTCATAAATAGTGACATTTGAGTCAAAATATTAATAGATTTTTAACTAAAGTATTTGATTTTTCTCTTTCATTCGTAGACGTCTTTAGCATAATTGATGAGAATATTTGAAGGATTTTATATTTCACTCAGAAATGTGTTTGCATAATTTAGTTTTATTAAACCCAGGTTTCAGTTTTAAGGTTAAAAAATATACAAATTGTTTTGAGATGTTTAATTTGTTTTTTCTCTCAAAAGTTAAATAATTGGGCATTTGTTTCACTTTATAGGTTATCAGAAGATTGAGAGAAAGAGGAGAACCAATCAGACTATTTGGAGAAACTGATTATGATGCTTTTCAGCGTTTAAGAAAAATAGAGATCCTCACACCAGAAGTTAACAAGGTAAGAACAGATCAGAAAAAAGCTAGAAAAATGCTACTATACCGCATAAACTAGAATAGAGTCTGACTGATTGCATTACTACAGGTGAAAATGCAAAGATAAAGTTGTCAGATTACTACTGCTAATGTAAATTTTCATTATTTTTTAAAAAGCACATATCTTAAGCATACAGTTTGATGCATTTTTGATAAACACATGCAAGCATATAACCACTACCCGTATAAAGGTGTGGGACATTTTCATCACCCAAGAAAGTTCCCCATTGCCCTTTCTTAGCCAGTCCCCACAGCCCTCCTCCTCCACTCTTGCGCAAGCACCTTTTGGATTCTCTCACCACAGATTAAATTTTGCTTGTTCTAGTAGTATTTCATATGGATAGATTCATAGAGTACATGTCTGGCTTCTTTTTTCTCAACGTAACAGCTTTTAGATTCATCCGTGTCCTTGCGGGTATCACTAGTTTCCTTTTCATTTCCTAGTGATCTTCAGTTGTATGAATATGTCACAGTTTGTTTCCAGCTTTTGGCTATTAGGAATAAAACTGCTGTGAACATTCTTGCACAAATCTTTTTTGGAACTACATTATTTCTCTTGGGGAAATATGTTATATCTCCTGGGGAGAGACCTAGAAGTAGAATTGCCGAATAATAAAAGGATATGTATGCTTAACTTCATGAGAAATGCCAGACATTTTCAAATATCACAGTTTGGTATTCTTAGTCTTTTTAATTTTAACTATTCTCTTGTGTGTGTACTAGTATCTCATTGTGGCTTTATTCAGATTTCCCTGATGACTAAAGATGATAAGCATTTCTTCGTAGACTTTTTTGTGCAGTGTCTGTTAAAGTCTTTTGTTCATTTTTAAATTGTATTCTTTGTCTTTTTGTTGAGGAATTACAGTTCTTTATATATTCTGGAGATAAGTCCTTTGTCAGATATATAGCTGTGTTTTGTGACTGTTTTCTCCTACTGTATAGCTTACTCATTGTCTTAAAGCAGTCTTTTGCTGAGTAGAAGTTTTAAATTTTGATGAAGTCCAATTTGTCAATTTTACCTTTTCTGGTTATTGCTTTTTGTGTCCTGCTTAAGAAATCACTGCCTGTCCCAAGGTCTTGAAGAGATATTCTTTTATGTTTTTTTCTAAAAGCTTTATTAAGTTTTTGCTTTTACATTCAAGGCTCTAAGGCTCTGATTTTGTTTTATGGCTCAGCATAGGGTCTATTCCATGGTCTCTTGAAAAGAGTATGTTTTTGCTTTGGTTATGCAGGTCTACAAATGTCAATTGTGACGGTGGTGTTCAGATCTTCTGTGGCCTTCCTAACTTTTTATTTCCTTACTCTATCAATTGCTGAAAGACAGATGTAGTTATCTATGGCTGTGTAATAGACCACCCCAAAACTTAGTAGTGTAAAAGGATTTATTATTATAAAATCTCTTTTGGCTATCTGTGACTGTAACAAACCACCCCGAAACCTGGTAGCTTAAGATAATTTATTAATATCTCTCACAGTTCTGTAGTTTGATTGGGCTGGACCAGGCAGGTGTTTGCTTGGGGTCTTTCGTGTGATTGCAGCCAGGTGAAGGCTGTGATTGAAGTCCTCTGAAGCCTCGCCTGGACTGGTCTTCTAAGCTAGTGTCTTCGCCTACATGCCTGGCATCTCAATCGGAATGGCAGGAATACCCAAGCTGGCCGGCCCCGCTTGCTCCACGTGCTCTTTGCTAGCCTGGGATTTCTCACTGCTTTCCTCATTCGTTGCAAAACCACTTTCCGGCTTCACTTCTCAGCGTTGCCATCCCAGCCCCACAACACTGATAGTTGCCTGAGCACTTTCTGTCCTCCGTGTCCGCAATGATGATTTTCCTATGCCTGCTGTGTTCCTCTCTTGTATGCCTTGGTTGAAATCTTGTCCTTACGCTTTTAGACACAGTTCAAAGATTATGTCTCTTCTCTGAACCTATCCTTGGTCCCATTTGGAATTAATTGCTTCCTTCTCAGTGCTCCTACAATTAAACTTTTGTTAGTGCACTTACTATATTTCATTAGTATTAGAGTACGTGCATATGTATCTCTTCCTGCTGGGCAAAGGCTGTTTTACTTTTGTATGCCAAGTTTAGTGCCTTGCATGCAGAGGTTTTTAGGAAAGAGCACAGGAGTCAAAGGACTGGATCCCATTTCTGGATTGTTAGCTATGTGACCATTGTACCTTATAATCCTCCCTTGTAAAATAGAGGCACTCATATCTGGCTCACTGGGGAGTAGTGAGAATTAAATGAGATAACCTTTGGGAACATGTGGCATTATACTTCATACATAGCAGGTACTCAGTGAATGGTAAATTAAATGTTTTGAGTTAAATGTTTCTCTTCTGTATTTGTGAAAGGACAGTAGACAATGATCAGATGCTTCTATATAGTAACATTAGAAGTTAACATTTATTGAATGCTTACTGTGCTCCAGTGACCTTTTGAAAACGCACTATACATTTATGAATTGGTTTAAATAACTTGATGTTTGTAAGACTCTGGAACAGTCCCAGTACACAGAAAATGTTAAATAAAATAAAAAATGAAATCCTCATGATAACCTTCATGGTAGATAGTATTATTATTCCCATTTTATAGGTGAGGCAACAGGCATACAGGGGTAAGTAAGTTGTCCAAGAGCTGGTCAGTGGCAAGGATTCGAGCCCAGGTAGCTGCTCTCAACCATTGCCCTACGGCCATCTCATGGCCATGGTGCCCTGGCTCTCAAACCTTGCAGCTGATCCCACTCATGTTTAGGAAGTTGAGGCTTCCATTTTTTATTAAATGGTCATAAACTGAACATGCCTGAAACATGGCATTTGCTGGTTTGTTAGAAACATAGCTGAAGCCTGGGATATAGACGAGACACCAGTTTATTCCATTGACATTTCTGAATGTTTTGGGTGTTGAGAGTAGTTGAAATGAGGTTAGACATTGTCAGTGAACTGGGAACATGGGCTGGGGACTCTGATGGAGACCTGGTCACCTTCATTAATCCTCATTAGGAAATTACGGCATTTATGAAGATTCTCTTTTGAAATTGTCATTCACATCTATTTTATTTTTCCCATTATCAGACTTGGCATTGTGCATACATTCTTTGAATTTAAGTGTGTTCATAAGAATTAACTTTAAATGGACAGTAATTTTAGACGTAAAATAAATTGATGTCATTCGAGTCCCTAGTTTTGCCAAGGTCTTAACTGCTTGTGGAGAAAAAAATGGATTGTATATATTGTTCATGAAAAATCACAGGTGAAACATCAGTGAAATGTCATAATGTACTTTTCCACCTTTCTCAGGGATTGAGGAATGACCTGAAAGCAGCTTTGGATAAGATTGATCAGCAGTACCTCAATGAGATCGTGGGTGGGCAGGAGCCTGGAGAGGAAGACACACAGAATGATTTGAAAGTTCATGAAGAAAACACCACAATCGAAGAGTTAGAGGTAATCTCTGTGCCCAGCCCAGCCCCTTCCCTCCCCACCCCTTTTCCTCTGGAGCAGGTGGGTGAGTGGATCCCATCTTTCTGTGCAGAGCACCCTGCTGTTTTTGGTCAGTGCCAAAGGCCCGTCTTTTGTCTCTTGCTTTTATTGATTGATTGATTGGCAGAGTCTCACTCTTTTGCCGGGGCTAGAGTGAGTGCCGTGGCGTCAGCCTAGCTCACAGCAACCTCACACTCCTAGGCTCAAGTGATCCTTCTGCCTCAGCCTCCCAAGTAGCTGGGACTACAGGCATGCGCCGCCATGCCCGGCTAATTTTTTCTATATATGTTTAGTTGCCCAATTAATTTCTTTCTATTTTTAGTAGAGACAGGGTCTCGCTCTTGCTCAGGCTGGTTTCAAACTCCCGAGCTCAAACAATCCTCCCACCTCGGCCTCCCAGAGTGCTAGGATTACAGGCGTGAGCCACCATGCCTGGCCTTGTCTCTTGCTTTTATTTATTTACTCTTCTTTTTCTCAGTCTCCATTCACATTCCCCTACTACTTACCTTCGAAAGTAATCATTCTGATATGTTGGATGTGCACCCTTTAATTTGCTGGTGTTCTTGTAAAGCTTGTGGTGTTTTGTGTGCACATATTTTTTTATTTATAGAAATGATAATTGTGCTGTGAAATTCTTTATTTTTTACTTTTTTTCACTTAGCACCATGTTCTTAAGACCCATCCTTGATGCTTTATGTACTTTTAATCCTTTGCTTTTAATTGCTCTGTAATATTCCATATATTATGGCATTCACTACATTTTACTTTTTGTTCTCCCATAATGACGGACCGCTAGATGGTTCCCAGCTCACTGTTAACACAGCTTTGTGACCAACAATCTTGTGCATAACCACCCTGGCCTAAAGAAGTGGGATCAAGGGATTTGTATATGTGTATTTGACTTGTCTGAGTGCTGCCAAGTTGCTCTCTGGAGTGGCTGTCCCAGTCTACACCTGCTTCAGCAGCGTGTGAGCGTCTCGTGTCCTTCCATCCCTGCCAACACTTGGCAATGCTTCGCTTTCTAATTTTTGCCACAGTGTTGCATATGGAGTGATATATGTAATTTTAATTAAAAAGCATGGTTGTATCATGTGAATATCTAGCATGTGAAAAAAATATGGCTTAGTTTTAAGTTCTTAATGCTTAATGAAGCATAAACCATTACTTTCCTGTTTCCTTTCATTCCTGGCTCTTGCGCATGTCACTGTCTCTCTGAGATCATAGTTGAGGGAGGATGTCATTTTAATCCCCTCCCTCCTCCAACACCTATCTATGGTTCCTAAATTTTACTGCAATAACTGGTGTGGGCAACCACTTATGGGCTTTTTTTCTTCTATCTTGTTTTTTTTCTCACAGCTTTATTGAGATTCACATACATACAATTTATCCGTTTAATGTGTACAACTTTGATTTTTTAATACATTCTCAAAGTCGTGCAACTATCATCCTATCTAATTTTAGAACATTTTTGTTCCCCCTCAAAAGAAATGTCATAGGCATTGGCAGTCACTTGCCTCACCCCTCCTTGTCTTTTGATTCCTAAAAGATAACATGCTGTCTAAATTTAAATGGCAAATCAGCGCTTTTTTTTAACCTATCCAGAAAATCCATGAGGTTTTTAAATAAAAATGGAACAACATGTGTGACAAAGAGCCACGTGTAGACTGGTGTTCATCATGTGTATTCAGCTGTTCTCGGTGCTAATGAACAGAAGCATTTTTGCTCTTTCTTCAGGCCCTCGGGGAGTCTTTAGGGAAAGGCGATGATCACAAAGACATGGACATCATCACCAAATTCCTAAAGGTGAGTATCTTAGGCTAGGGAAGGGAGGACGTTTTGGATGCTTAAGACCTCCTCTTATGCTTTTGGATTATCAAGGGTTAAAGGCTGGAAAGGGAAACCCTCAGTAAACTTTCTTGTGCGTGCACTATGTTTATGATATTGCTGTGTACTTGGATATAGCAGTTAATGAAAGGAAATGTATATTTACTTTCCTCATGGCACATTTTTTTAAAGCTAGCTTATTAATGTAAACACAAAAAAGAATCACAACAGCAGAATGCACAAGAAGTTTGGGGGAATTTCTTGTTTTTTTTAAACACCGTAGGAAGGAGTGCGATGGAGGTTTCCAGAAGCTGTTTTGAGAGGCTGATGACAATAAGGAAAGGAAGTAGGTGGAAAGACATTGGCAGTGAAAACAAGTAACTTTCAGGGTGTTCATTTCTTCAGGTCTACAGATCACTGCTTGTTTTTTGCTGTGATTTGCTAATTACATCTTTCTTCTCAGCATTTCTTTCTTTAGTGGTCTAGGTAGAGTGGGCAAATCCCGGAATCATTTTAATGTTTACTTACAAACTGTGCTCAGGCTAAGAGATTTGAATGCACAGAATGCTTTTACTTAATGTACAGTTTAATACTACATACTAGTCATCAAGATTCTGAATACATCGAGGATAAGGCGTGGAACTAGACAGGGCATGGGAACTAGTAGAACTGGAATTTCCTCTTGGAATGATGGCTCTCCTTATGTACATATGCAGGGGTGTACGTCCTCAGCTGTCTGTCTCTGTTACCGGCTTCTAGAGAAGTGCTCTTTATGCAAGTAAACCCAAGGGGCATTGGGGTAGTTTTCTGGGGCTGGGGGTAAGGGGTGAGGAGAATGGGTCATGGTTTCTTTTATTTCTGTTCCTTTTTTTCCTTCCTCCTTTAGTCAGGTGCTTTAGTGGGAATTTTAGATTGAGGTCTCTACTGCATAAGTAGAAAGTACAAATACTACAACTTGGAAGACTGATTAAATGTCACAGTACGTATGATATTGTGGATGATAAGTCTAGGTTGGTTTAATGTTAAGTGATAGAAGTACAAGTAAAAGTTTATTTCTATCAAATAGTTAGCTATAAAATTTGATAGTTCTTTTTTGCAGGGGGGAAATGGATTATCTTGAGCTGGGAATATATATAGACTGGGGAAGTTTGTCACTTGCCAAAGGCACTACTTCGTAAAACATACACGACAACATAAACAGAAATAACTCATTAATTAAATATTATTCGATATTTTAATCAGTCAAGACATTTACTTTAAGGATGATGGTATTCTGTTTTGTGCATTAGAGAGCTTTTAAACTTACTGAACCACTGGGTGGCATTGTAGCCTAAATTTACCCATTCTTTCAACAGTTTCTTCTTGGCGTTTGGGCTAAAGAATTGAATGCCAGAGAAGACTATGTGAAACGCAGCGTGCAGGGTAAACTGAACAGTGCTACTCAGAAGCAGACTGAGTCCTACCTCAGACCACTTTTCAGAAAGCTACGGAAAAGGGTGAGGCTTCTTGGAAAATGCTTTTATTAGCTTTTTAAAAATAGAATATATAGATTTAGAATTTTTGTAGTCTGTTTTTCATTACACATAGTAGTTTCTAAAATTAGTTTTTTTTCTTTTCCAGAATCTTCCTGCTGATATTAAAGAATCAATAACAGATATTATTAAATTCATGTTGCAGAGAGAATACGTGAAGGTACATTACCATGTTGTGCATTGAAATTGTTATGAGCATATCTAGGTTATGTACATAATAATATAACGTTTATTGGGATGGGAGAGTTTTACATAGTAGATTTAAGAATAAATGTGAAATGAGCTAGTAGTAAAACAAGTTTTATTTTCTATTGTATTTGTCAGCTTTATTGTGAGGCATTAAATAACAGACATTGGGACTACACTGTATTTTCTTAGTCATTCTTAAAGTAGGCCTAAAGTTTCTTCAGGACATAAACTGTATGTAGGCAGTGTTCATTTTATGAATGGGGTTGAATTTTGAAGTGTGTAACTGGTCGATTATGGCATGGAAGAAATTTTCCCATAGAAACAACGTTATATAAATTAGTTTCACAGGCCAGCTATGAAAGTCTCTGTAATCTGTAATACAGCTGAGCTATTGTACTGATGATACCATGGAATTTAACCACTCTTTGTAATTGTTTCTATGGGAAAATGGTCCAAGTTAGGCTGCCGCTTCTCCTTTATTTCAGTGCTGCAACAATAGTAGACCCCATGCAGGGGAAGACTTCTCCCTTGTTCCAGTCTCTTCCCCCCTGAGTGGGCCCTGGGAGGAGGCTGCAGAGGGAAAGAGCTCTGGTGGCCAGGGCTCCTGGGTGGAGTTTAGAAAGCAGAGGGTGGAGGACTGTCCATTGGTGGAGGGGAACAAGAAGAGAAGGGCCCAATGCACCCATAGTGAGGATTCGAGACCGGACAGAGTTTGAGGAGGCTTCTTGTTCCTGTGCCTCCCTAGAGACTAGGAGTGGAGTGTTTCAGTGCAGCCATCATCACAGTGACAGTGACAGAACAGTAGAAAGGTGGAAATGGCATTGCTTATTTGGTGCTGTGAGTATCTGTATACTCATGGGAGAAGGGATGCTGGCATCCCTGGTGACGGGATCGTTTGCTTGATCAGAGCCTTAGCTAATGAGGCTAATGTAGTGATTTTACTGCTTGGAAGAGCCAGTCAGTGTTCTCAAAGAAAATATTTTTGCCTTATGGTTATAAATTTTATTCTTAGTTTCTGTCAGTTGCATGATTCTTACTGGGGATGATTGCGTTGGAATGGATGGACAAGGTCACCATCACTGCAGAAAGAATACAAACCACATGCCTGCTAGAGTGGACTCCTTCGCTCTTCTTACTTTTTCTCATCATATCAGACCTAGGTGCAAGCGTATTTTGCATAAACTACAAAAAGAACAACGAAACTTTAATACCATGTTTGCACAATTTTCTTTGGAATTTTGGGGAAACTAAATATTGGAATTTTTATCAGTTAAGGTCCACATGAGAATCAGTGATAAATACGTAAATATGTCCTTTTAGTAAAATTAAGCTTTATAAAATCTGTTGAGCAGAGCAAGTTCAAATTTAACTTTTGGGTAGAAAATGATCTTCCAGATAACCTCAGTAGTACTTTAGTTTTTAAAAATGAGCTCTGCATATCAATCATGTAAGTGTTTGATTTTTGAAATTAAAATCTCTTTGAGGCTGAGCTTTATAAGGTTCTCTGAAACCCTCAGGATCTTTTAGAATTTACTTGCTATCTGTTTTTATCCTCCTCCTTTCTCACAGCTAGTCAGGCTTGGTTAAGAAAAAGAGCCATTTGTCTTCATTGGTTTCTGTCTTCACTTTTTGTAGCTTTTCTTTCTAGGTTCTTGGCCAGGTGGGAGGTTTAGGGGGGCCAAAGTGAACTGATCTCATCCTTTAGCTATTTGACTGGAGGGCCAGTATTTCCTCTCTGTTTACACATCTGTTATGGACGCTGTGTGGTCATCCCAGCACACACAGCCCCTGCAGCCTTCAGAGAGCTGCGGTGCTGTGCAGGGAGTAGCTATCATTTTAGGTTGGATTATTAAAAACTAGTTATCCTGTCTTCTACACGACCACCTATAGAGAAGGCTGGGTCTAAAGGACACTGAAACTTGAATTTCCATCAGTGCATCACATTACCTACCTGCCAATCCCAGATTGGAAATATGTTAATTTCTTACACACAAAGGCCTCAAAGGAATGTTTGTCTTTTTTGCTCATAACCTAACTTTGGTTTCTGTTTTTCGTGGACATTTGTTGTCCTGGGCAGGGCAGTCAGTCACCCACTATTTTAATCTTTTATTTGAATAACGGGAATGGTAATACTTTCAATATGCCCAAGATTTGGAAGAAAATGACATCATAAAGGGCTGTGAAATACTTGAAGTAAAAACTTGGACCAACCAATAGTTTTGCCTTTATGATTTCTTCTCAATTTTTCCTTTCAGGCGAATGATGCTTATCTTCAGATGGCCATTGGAAATGCGCCTTGGCCCATTGGTGTCACTATGGTTGGTATCCATGCCAGAACTGGTCGGGAAAAGATTTTTTCCAAGCATGTTGCACATGTTTTAAATGATGAAACTCAGCGGAAGTACATTCAGGTAAGCAGTTTGGAAGGACAGGAATTGCCCTGGAGGTTGACATTCTCTGATTCCCAAAACTATGAGTCTCGAGAGCAGGCAAAGAATCGTCGCAAATAGGAAATAGCATGATAGGATCCAAGTCCTCTTTTGACACGTGCATTCAAGAAACCTTCACTGAATAAAGTAAAAATCTTTTAACTTTCATATGTGATGGAAGACAGGTTCAAGTATTGTGCTTTAATTACATTAGCACTGAATGAAACTATTGCATTTTTTTTTTTTTTTTTAAATAGAAATGAGGTCTTGCCCTGTTGCCCAGCCTGGAATGCATTGGTGCAATCATAGCTCACTGCAACCTCAAACAACTCCTGGGCTCAAGCGATCCTCCTGCCTCAGCCTCCCAAGTAGCTGGGACTATAGGTGTGCACCACCAGGCCCAGCTCATTTTTTAATTTTTTTTGTAAAGACAGGGTATCACTATGTTGCCAGGCTTGTTTTGAACTCCTGGGCTCAAGCAATCCTCCCACCTCGGCATCCCAAAGTGCTGGGATTATAGGTGTGAGCCACCAGTGCCCAACATTTTGCTTTTTTAAAAAAACATATACATTAGCAAATAAAACTTGAGCTAATCCAAAAAATATAACGTATTTATAAAAACTCTCAAATTGGGAGTTTAGTGAAGAGTGACAAATTTAGAGTGTTTTACAATAAATCTTGATTTGTTGCTTTCAAGATGGATCTTAACATCTATTAGGCTAAATAGATATGTAGAGTAAAGACTTGGCTTTAATGCTTATAGTCATTTTTAAGTAGCATGTAATAATACTTCTTTAGTCATGTCAATAGGTCTAAGGTATTTATAGTTTATTTTCTTAAAGTTATGCATGTCTCATATAAACTTGTTTGCATTATTTTTGGGCTAAACTTTTCTCCTTAGTGGGAAAAAAATCAGCTATAATCTAGCCCTTGCCAAATTGTCATAAATGCCAGACTGTGTCTGTATAATGACTTTTGCTGGATGGTAATTCTAAAACTTGAAGATGATACTCTGGAAGTTTACTTAAAATTTAAAGTTCACTTAAAATGCGTAAAGTGCTTCCAGATTTCGTGCCAGAGAACAGTCATTACCATATTCATGAATTATCTTTTTGTTTGTATTTCAGTTCCAAGTGCTGACTGTTAATTTGTGTCATGCTTTATGCCTTATTCACATATATTAGCATTTTAAAATATGATTTCAATCTGACTTCCTAATGTGAACTGTATTCTTTATAGAGTTCAAATATACTTCTGGAAACTCAAGCACATTTCCATTTCTTAATAACCACCAGTGACTTTTATTAAAGGCAAAAGATTTTAGTTGGGGGGAGAAAAGTATTGTTTGGCTGTAACAGTAGAAAACAGTTCTCAAGGATTAAATTTGTTAATTGTGTTTGTGTATACCATGGCCAAAGCTATAGAATGTAAAAGTCCATGTGATTTTAGATAAATTGTCTTAAAGCATTTCCTTTTGTAAACAATGGTTTGATTTCCACCCCACCCCATGGACTGATTTTCCTTTTTAAAGTATACCTAGTATTTATTCAAGATTTCTGGTTTATTTTGGAAGCTACATAGGGACCTTTTCTTCCCTCCCTCATTCTTACTTTAACTGTTCTCTTCTCATTAAAAAGAATTCTCCTTTTTTCTCCTGAAGTGATTAGGGAAAATTGGTGAGCACATTGTATCTGAAGTTTATTGATGTAGCCCCAATAGTGTTCTTGAGGATAGGGCACAGTAAGGGGGACTCATAGCTCCTTGACAGAGGGAAGCCATGGAGCAGTGGATGAATAATGGACCCACGTCTCTTTGTGTGGGTGCTGGTGACATATGTCACAGGGTCTTAGTTGACCTCAGTGCTATCTTGTGCAACATTTTTATGACAGATTTGGGTGACTGTGCAGAGAGATGGGTTTATCAGATTTGCAGACCAGAAACTAGAAGGGATAAGGATGTGTGTTTGGCTGGAAAAGAAGTTGATATTCCAGAAGTTTGTGACAGACTAGAGAGGAGGGCAGATTCTAAAAATATAATATTTAGCAAGGACAACCATAAGAAAATTTGGATCCATAACCCACCTGTTTAAATATACAATTTGAGCAGTGGGTATGAGACAGAATTAGGGAATTTAGTGGGATAAATTAAGCACAATAAAATTGGTAGTATGATATGGCCACCAGAAAGGCTAATGATAGCTTATGGTCCATTATTAGACCTAATCATTTAGTGTAGGCTCCACAGGGCAAGAACATAGTTCACTGTTGTACCCCTAGAATCCAAAACAATGTCTGGATCCTGGTAGGTGCTTAATAAATATTTGCTGATTGAATGACTGCTCTGTAGAACAAGAGAGGTGACAGTCATGTTCGTTTTCTAGTCCTTGGTATTTGGCGGAAATCTGGGCCAGAGGTCCATAGATAATAGTAGAATTTTGTGGTAGAAGAGGATTAAACTTGTTCTATACAATTAAGGATCAATTAAGTCTAAGTGGACAGATTTTGGGTAAGTGTAAAGAAAAGCTTTTTTTAAAAAATTTTATTTTAAAATAATTATAGATACTCAAGAAGTTGCAAAAATAATATGAAGATGCTTTTTAATAGGCAGAACTGTCCCAAGGTAGGAGCAGGGCTGGCTTGAAAGATGGGGGAGCTAGCTGTCTGCAAGCATTGAGTTAACTATTGCCATTTTGGGCCAATAGGGCAAAGTCTAGCCCTTAAATTTCTCTGATTCTTCTCTGCCATTTTCCCTACAGGCCATTGCTTAAACCTAAAGTTGCAACTCACATGCCCACAAGAGTCAGTCAGATAACAGGAAACCTGTGGCCTACTGTCTGTCTTCTGTTTTCCTACTTTTTATATAGGCACAAATAGAGGCAGCATTTCATTTTCCTCAACTCTGCTGTAAGAAAAATGAACAGTGCAAACACAATGTTAAGTGTCAGCTTATGTTTTTGGATTCTCTCTTGTTGGGAGTCACTTGAACGCATTCTTTCCGTATAGGAATGTTTCCAATGTTGCTGAGTCATTGTCGTCGTCTTTTTTTAAATTAGAAGCTAAGATCTTTAGTTTTAGAAAAGTGTACTTTCCTATCTTTAAAATATTGGCACCACATTAAAAAAAATTAACATTATTAACATTATATAAGGCTAAAGAAAGATGCCAGTTTGTGATCTGTGTCTTAAACCTATAGTTAGCCCAAGAAAAAGAATGCTGCCACCCCTGTGTTAGGGTTATGTGAAATTCTTGGTTATAGTCAACTTAGTAATTTACTAAGCTGTCTTATGAATCACCCTCTTGTTACTTTGGTATCTAGGTGAGGTTGATATCCTAAAAAAGGTAAATTTTAAGTGTATCATTTGATACACTTAAAGTGTAATCAGGGGTTGGCAAACTTCTTAAAGGGTCAGACAGTAAGTATCTTGGGCTTTGTACTTCATACGTATGGTCTCTGTCCCAACTACTCAGCCCTGCAGCTATAGTGCGAAAGCAGCTATACTGGGCCCTGTTCCAGCAAAACTCCATTTATAAAAGGGGCAAGTGGCCTGAGGACCATAGTTTGCTGACTCCTGGTAAATGTATAAACCCAAACCTTTTTTACATTCAGATATTTGCTGAGTAGGTAATGGTGAAAATCATTTAACAGAGTAATTATTTCTTTTTAAATTGCGGTATAATACACCTCAGCAGTGTAGTGCTTGAAGCGTACTAACCTTAATTGTACAGCTCAATGATTCTCGATGTGTGTGATCCATAGCAGGCTATAAAACAAGATCTACATCTAGAACGTTTCCAGCAGGTTCCTTCATGCCTGTTCCCGCCTAAGTCCCCCATCAGAAGTAACTACTGTTCTGACGTGTTTCGTTATTGATTAGTTTTGCTTGTTGTTGGACATCGTGTAAATGGAAACTTGCAATGTGTGGAATAATTTTTTTTTTTTTTTTAAGAAATATTGGTGAGAAATATATTTTATGAAATGTAGAAAACAATTCAAGGGGCTATTTTACTGGAACAGAAATTCATCGTTTGGTTTTATGCAAACCTCTGTAGAATGTAAACAGTGGAAGTTGTTTGAAGTGTTCTCTTTCTCACAAAAATAAAATCTACCACAGGGAGGGTTTTCTCACCATGCAGATCAAAGGAAAGTTCTATAGCTTACTCTAGGGCACCCGCTTCAAGTCCAGGATTAGACTGAAATTGGTGGTAGTAGCTGCAGGGCCTTTGTTTATTCTGCTAAATACAGTTGTAACCTTTGGCCCAGATTTGGGTAAAGCTTTTTTTACACAGATTATAGGAAGCTCTTGATTATTTAAAGACTTTATAATTCAGTCATTTCCAGATATCTCTTCAAGAAATTCACATCTTGGGCACTCTTTACTTGTAAAGAAGAGAAGGAAGGTAAACAGGAGAAGGAAAATGAGGTGCAATACACATCAGATAGCTGTTGGCCCCTGTAACTGTTCTCACCCTTCCTCACTGTATTCTGTGCCTTGGAAACCTGACTCTTGTGGACAAAATTGGCAGACTCCCCTGCCCTCTGGCTTCTAGTTGGGGCAGGCAGTGAGAGTTACTGGAAGGCATTTTGTAGGTGGAAAAAGAATGAGTTTGGGGGTGTTTATTTCCCTGGCTTCCTTCCCGTGGGTGACTGCACCCCTCTGCCCAAGGCCATCGCTTCTCTCTGGTGCGCTCTCCATACAGGTCCCTCTCTGGATTCTAGTACCCACTCTCCTCCCCTCCCCTCCAGAACTTGGGCCGGCCACAGCTTCCCAGGATTGCCAGTGCGGGGGTGCTGTGCTATCTCTTGTTGGTCCCAAGTCCTGCCCACTCCTTTGTAATGTCCTTGAAACTGTTACCATCAATTTATGTAGTTTGAATGTACCCTTTGTTCTCTGCTGGTATGCTCTTTGATACTTGTATTTGAATTGATCTGTGTGCTGTGTTATACACAGATTCCTTTGGGGGTTAGATGATTAAGGAATAATA